ATTTCATTGAATCTATACATTCGATATTTACAATATTTGCATAATAAGTTTTTATTTCACTTTATGTGCATAATAATATATTTGATTATCTGTAATATTAATTGCAAAAATTTACATTCTACTTTATTAATCTATTGTTTCATATACACATGCAGCTTCAATTCCATCTGATATAAATGTAACAAATTCTGAATATTAATATTTTTATAAATTTTCAAACAATATCATTACAGCAATCTTGATGTCACAAATGAGCTATAATTGAAGTTCGATCATAAGTGTTTGATTAAAAAGAAAATATCGACTTTTCTATAAACACATATATTTATTAGCTCTATTAATTAATTATAGATATATACATAATGATGAGAATTTCTCTATTGTCGAATTTCTGTATATTCGGATCAACTTATATAATAATGTATGTTTTTTTTACAGATTTCCGTTAATGATGTCAAAAATATAGATATACAATATCTAAATCATTAAATTTATCGTATTACTGTCTGCACAGAATTTATACAACAGCGGAAGGTATATACGCAAAATGTACAGACATTATAGTAAATACGTATTTATTTGTGGAGGCTAAGATACAGAAATACAATAACTCTCTAGCTTCCACATTGAAGGAAATCAGTAACGATATTAAAACGCATTTTGCTCGTAGCGGAGTAAAAATTGAACCAAAGGCATAATAAAGTTTTAAGTTTAATATAAATAATTAAATGTAATTATTGTAAAATTACATTTTGTTAACACAAATAATAAAGGAGTTTTTTACGCACATTATTCATAGTTATCGTGTATTTTTTATAAATACATAATTACAAATATGATAATCGCAATCGTTATCGCGCGATGTTACCTTTTTATGCATATCGAGGTATGTGTAATTCGTGTTGGACTTATATAAAAGAAATAATACATTATCCTTTGCAAAATCAAATATATCTTTGCTTTCATTAAAATGTAACCGGTAATTATTTCAGTAACATATGGATTTATTTTAGTCCAAAGTAAGAGATATCTGTAAGCCTCTTTACACGTTTATCGAATCTATAACAATAAAAAATCGAGCTTTTAACAAATTTCTCGATGAACAAAATATGTCATTTAACTTACGTTGTATTTGAGACATTTTCGTAAATGTAAGAAGCATAACTGTTGAAAATAATTCAGAGTGCATCCAATATTGTAACGGCGTAAAAATATCTAAAATTCGCAAAATATATTTATACACTTATATACAGAATGTTCCATTTTAATCAACGCAGTTAATTTTCTCCGAAATTATTGATGATATAAAAAAAATATTTTAGATGGAAGTGGTATGGTTACAAAGAGAACATATTATGATCAAGTTACTTCTTTTCTAAATGGAGGCTAAAAAGATACGAAGGTCAGCCTCACTTTTTCAAATAAAATTATATAAATTTTTACATAATTTGATTTCCCTAATTATTCGTACATAAAAGTAACAGGTAAAGTTACCGTAAAATTATTATTTTACAAGATATTTTATACTTTGTCATGCCACTTTAAGTAGGTAAACTGTATTTCGACATAAAAAATAAAATCTCGTGAACTATTAATTTCTTGATAATTGTTATATCTTAATATTTTTATGTTTGGAATAATAAGATGGATCGATTGGTGTAAAACAAATAAACAATTGTTTTTAAGAAAATGATTGCATATTGTATATCTACATACACATATGTAGATTTACGTGTAATACGTTTATACATGTGTATCTTATGAGCATACTTAGGATTGACTTTTACAAACGTTATTAATATTTATAAATTCAATTTAACAAAAGATATTAAAGATTTATTTCTATACACTTATATTTACGAACTAATAATTTGAATAAAAACGTTCAAGGATAAAAAAACAAAAATAATCAGAGAGATGGAGAGAGAGAAAAAATGAGAGAAAGAGGGGGGAGAGGGAAGTTTGGACTTGAAAATAAAACTTTATCCTGCGCATGTTATTATTTTTCTCTTTCAACCGTTAGTAACTGCAGACTCTTCATCGTGTGAGCACTGACAGTGATATATTACAGAACCAATAGACACGATTAAGTTGACACGGTTAAATTATTGTTCTTGAATTTCAATGAAAAATTGTTTACATTAATCCCAATTATTTTATCAATTAAGTAACAATATAAAATTATTATTTTTTCAGATCATCTCTTATAGAAAAATACTGTTGGATTTACGAGAAACTTATTGGAAATTATTAAAAAATTATTCAAATCCAATATTATAAGGCATATACTATAAACTGTTCCAACTGAAGTTTTTCACTAATTCAGTAGTATTATTTTACAAGGGATGAGTAAAAGATCATCAGTAAAAGCACATTTCAATACTTTAATATATTAATTTAATTTATTATATTAATTAATATATTAAAATTTAATATATTAAATTGATTTAATATATTAAATTAATTGACAACATTTACTTCAGGCTATGTATAAAATCTTGGAAAATAATTACTACTGG